CTAGCAACATTCTTGTGGGTACACTGGCTTGTGTAGATGATAAGTCTTGGGCGGACTGCAAGGTTGTGGACTATATTCTTCTCTTAACCAGAAGGACCCATGATGAGGAAAAAATATTGAGATTAGAAGCCCAGGTACAATCATCAATTTTCCATTTCGTTCATGGTATCGGGGAATTAGGCATTTGAACTCTGATTATACCCCAATATTTGATTTTGCACCATAGACCACCCCAGACGGGAGCGCAAAGTCAAAATATTAACATGAAACACATGGATAAAACTTAAATGTCTAATTAAATTTGGTATTTGCACAAAAATATAACCAATTTTGGTTTTGCACCCAATTGAAACCCGTATATATGATTTTGCACCCCTCAATATGGAGTGAGAAGTCAAAGAAAATAAAACTAATGTTGCAAATACCTAATTTCCATCTGTATTTTGGGCAATTAGTGTGGCAGATTAAACATAGCATTTAGCTTGATTCTTGGATCTATTGTGGCAGGTTAAAATAAGCATGGAGTATCCTCTTCGGCCACCTTTCTTTAGACTGAGACTTTACGCAACCCTTGACGACAAGAGCTACTGTGAGGTTCACTGCTCAGAGTGGTATAATGAACTCCGAGCCATGGAGGCAGAGGTAAGCAAACCCTAAACTGTAGTAAAGAGGTGTATGCTATGTGGTGCCTTGGACTGCGTGGTTTTGTTTTTCTTTCCTCAAGAAACCTTGCAATTTTGTACCACCCCCTCTCCCCAAATTGTATCACTCTGTCTTCAGTGTACTTAAAAACTCTCATGGTATGTTTGGATACTGGAAAAGGCCAAGGAATGTAAAGATTTGTCCAGAAAGGTTATTTTCATGTTTTTTTGTTTTAGCTCTGAAAAGCAAAGGAAAAGGAAATATGGTTAGCCTTCATCATTGTATAGTAGAAATAAATAAATAAATATATTTCTCTTTGCCAAGGAGACGATTCGGGTTCAATTCCCATTATCCGCACAATATCCAAATTCAAGAGGAAAGTAATCCATATATTAATTTAAATAGAGGGGGATCAGGTTGTCATGCTAGAGACATAAACAGTCATGGATAATGATAATATGAGATTCTTCCAACTGGGCTAAGAGCCTAAGAGAATGCCTATCACTTTGAGGTCCCAATACCAAAGTTTGTTTTATACATATGACAGGGAATGAGAAAAATAAATGTAATTGCTAAATGATTGGTTGGGCTCAAAATTTTATAAATCTATTTAAAAGTCCATCTGCCTTTATGGAAAACCCCTTTTTGCCGGCGATACAATAGTTGCTTTTAACTATGAAGAATTGAGATATGGTGATATAATAAAAGGCCTTCCAAAAGTAGAACAGGTTAATAAATAAACAAACATGTTTGAAGTTTGAACACACAATATAAACCCATACTGAGATTGAATTCACGTATAATCCCCCCACCCCCATGTTTTTTTTCTTTTGAAATGTACCTTATTTTTGTTCCATATTTCCTTCCTTGGCACTTTATAAGTTTGAAAAAGACACCGAGTATGTTGGATACACTTCTTGCCTGCCTCTATAAAGATGCCATAGATAATTAAACTTGGACTGTTTCATCTCCTCTGTCCCATGAAATGGCCTTCTGCTGAGATCAAAACCGTTTTCGCTTTCTTCATTTTTAGTTTTAGTTTTGATATATAGCAGTATAGCATATTTCCATTGGCCCCTCAACTAGAAAAAGTTACAGTTGACCAGATTACTTGCTGTTTTCAACCCATTGAAACCATATAAAAAATAGCAACTCTCAGATTCCCAAAATTTTATGCATAACAAATGGTGAAATACACTCTTGTGCCTTCTTGCCTATATCGTAGTTGTAGTTTAACAAGTGATTTTAATTCATTTCAAAAGTTTCACATTTCCATAACCTGCAGTTATGTGTTTTCTGCAGGTAAATGTTCACATAATGAAAGTAATACCTGCTGATGAAGCAAACAAAGTATTGGCTCATCAGGTCCATTGTCTTGCAATGCTCTTTGACTTTTGTATGGATGACAAGGAAACATGTTCTGAGAAAAGAACGAGCACATCTGTGATCGATGTTGGTCTATGCAAACCTGTTGGTGGTGAGCTTGTTTCTAGATCTTTCCGAGGCAGGGACCGCAGAAAAATGATATCTTGGAAGGACACTGTCTGCACTCCTGGCTATCCTTACTAGCTATGAAGCATGGAAACTTCCTGTGGCTCACGTTTCCGTGTTTCGGAAACTCAAACTTCAAATTCCCGTTTTGGCGCTGTTTCCGTAATTAAGAACTGGGTAACCCATTTCCCCAAAATAATTAGTGTTTCGGAAACCTTGGGTTTCCACTTTCCAAAACTTTTTCTTTTTGGTGATATTTCTTGAAGGGAAATAGTACATTTATAAACTTTTTGGTGAATTTTTATGTGATTTCATTCTAGAAACATTGTGATATTTCATAATGTAAAGCATTGCTAGACATGTATTGCATGTTATATTTAATCAGGTACTAATATGTAATAGTTTCTAAACTTGGACATGTAGAATGTTTTAATACAGAGTATTTCTCGCTCTTGCATTCCACATTTCCTGTCTCGTTTCTGTGCTATATGGCTCACTAGTGTACTGGTTTTGACTGTGATATAGTGCAAATTTATCTTCTAGTCCTTGGAAACAAGCATTTATCTAGTGAGTTCAAATCATGTTTTGTTACTTGTGTAAGCTTGTCACATGTTTTACTGACTTCAAATCCAATATATTAGTGGGAATTAATGTATGGTTTGACGGCATATTTTGACATTAAGTGTTATCAAACGAGTCTCCAGATTCATAAAAGACTACTGCCATCTTCAGACTAGAAAATTATTCTCTCTTCGGGTTCTGTTACTCTGTACTTCTGTTTGGTAGCCAAATTGGTCTATTCTGCTAATTTTGGATGATAAGATAGTTACAAAATATTTTAGAACCCTGACCAAACAGGTTCCTAGCATGCCAACGAAAACTATTATGGAGACTTATATAGGTAGATAATACTCCGTAATATATAGCGGCTCCTTGTACACAAAGTTTTATGTGATGGAATTGGAAACCTAGAAGACACTTGAGCAACTTGAGATTTATATCTCAAGTTTGTGAGGGTCTAGCCGTCTAGAAGTGAGTTCTTGAGAGACTACTTTGGTCTTTAGTGAAATAAGGTAGATAATAATATACTACGTATGTTCTACCAATTTAGAATACACATAATGCTTTACTCCCTCGACCAATGTGGTTACATATGAAAATATGTATCATTCATTTCTTCTGGTTTTTACATTAGAAACGTTTTATAGCAAAAGAAACTAATCAATTGTGTGTGTTCGTGCTTCCACATTTCTGTTTGCGTTTCTCTTAGACTCTTAGGTTCACATTGAGTGTTCGTCAACTCTATTCTCTAGTTCCTGTAGTCACGAAAAACAAAACAACTATTTCCATATTGTTTTGCATATGCAGAACTGCAGATTGTAAGATGGAAGCACCGTGTGTTGAAATACAGGTCTGTTTTTTTTTTTTTTTTTTTTTTTTTTTTTTAAATTTAGGAACTTAAGGCGTCTAAGAGGATCTGGTCCAAGGTGGTCAGCATGGAATATGTTTAAGAAAGTGTATGTAAGAAAACAAGTAATACATCGTGGTGGATGTATAGGATGAAGAAGCCTGATTTTGCCTAAATATGACACTTGCCAATAAAAAAGTTTTTCAATTTTGGGAAAATATTGCTTCAATTGGACTAGGGATGATTTATTGATTGGTTATATATATAAAATGTAAAGTTATTAGGCGTAGTAAGACATATAGGCCAAGCCTCAAAAACTTAAAGCTTAGACGAGAATGTGAAGTTTAGTTGGGAAAAGATGTTTGTGATTTTTATTAATACATACTATATTATTTTATAATGGCATATAAGGAAAAGAAATCAATACCCAACAAATAGAATATAATTACTTTTTACTTCGTACCGAGTGTTAGATTACATAATTGATATATTTACAAACTGAGATTTCCAATAATTTAACCCCATTTTTCTTTCTAATAATCGACCCTTCTATAAAATTCACGCCTTATAGGCTTAGTTACAAACTTGTACTGCATCTCCCTTTTACTTCACATCTAGACGCCTTCTTTTAGAACATTGGTTAAATATATAGTCTCACTTGTGTGGTACACAGAAAATGCTTTGATAGTTTGATTGAAATTAGATCCTCATAGTAATAGCTGAAGGTCTTACATGCAGGAACAATATGATGGTTAGTTAGAGATAAGATGTATTTCGTATATAGAATATTTGTATTTGCACTTACACACTCACTCACACACACACACATATAACCATACATATAGGGGAATGCTAAAGTTTGCACCACTTCTTAAATGTACATTTCAAATCCGAACCTTTTATGATATCAATCTTAGTATTTAGTTCCCTCAAATCTGAGCCTTCTATGATATAATTGGTTACTCTAGTTTCTCCAAGGAGTTCCAAACAAGTTAAATATAATAAGTTTAGTCAAACAAACTAGTAAGATGAAGATAAAAGTAGAATACATACATTATAAGAGTTGTACCTTGGAAGTTAGAAAGGTTTTTAAACTTTGATCACCATATATTTCTTGTAAAAAGAAGTGATTTTTAAATGCAACTTCAATTTCCTTTTCCTTTTCCATCATTTGCAAAATTGCAATGGAGCCAAAGACTCACTATTTCTTGGCTTGGGAATATGATGGAATAAAGCAAAACGACTCACTTAACTGTTTGTTATGAAACGACAACCAGTCCATCCAATTTGACGGGATTTTCACTATGGGTCATCCGGAAACAGTCTCTCTGTGCTTTAGTACAAGGGTAAGACTGCGTACATTCGACCCCCCTTACCACACCGTAGGTGGGAGCCTTTGCGGCACTGGGGTAATGATGATGATGAATTTCCTTTTCCTAAACTCTGTTCTCTGCATACTTTTTCAAAGACAAGCTGTAACTCTTGTGGAATGAGTGACACAAAGTAGAAACCTTTCATTTTATTACTTCAGTGTAATAGTATCATTATGCAGGGGTCTACAAATACATTGAGTAATTGATTGGTATAAATCTAGTTGCCAAGCATATATAACAATGATGCTTGCTACCAATATTCAATAGATATACAAACAAATTTGAGATAATTCGTTAGGGTGGTTTGAATGACATGCTTCTAGCATAACTGTACATTCACAGCTCATCCTTAGGAATAGAAGATGAGTGTTTGGGGTTGGCGGAAGAGGTCTTGACAGGGTAAGATGCTTGCATTGCTATGCCACACAGTCCCCCGTCCTCGACTCCACGTTGCATCCTTATGTATCCCTTCTCTCCCCATTCAGCTCCCCACGAGTTTCTAACGATCCAGTATTTGGTTCCGTCCTGTGTTGTCCCATACCCAACGATTGCGACCCCGTGATCAAGCTCTTTTCCACATTCCCCACTGAAAACACCCTGTAATAATGTACTTGTCGTGAGGTAGAACATAACCACCATATAAAGTCTCGATATACTTCTATTAGTAAATTTTATTACTCACCTCAGAATAGAACTGGAAGTCAGAACCTGAGGCTTCTATGGCTACAGAAACAGGTTGGTTGGCTACTGCTTTAAGCAGTGAGTCCTCATCACCGGCAGGCACGTCCTCGTGCCCATCGATCGATACAGCTTGCAAGTGCAACTGCCATCATACACATCCCAAATGTTGATTAATTTCATTGTTCAAATATGCCTATTTGCTACATTTATCTATTTCAAAACCATTTTTTTCCTCCAAAAGGGTCACATTTGAACAAAAGAAACCACTTTTACTGAACTTAATTATTCTCTCAGAAACAAAAAGCTGGGAACAAGTATGCTAAGTTTAGTTTATCATACAAAAGGAAATATTGATAAAATATAAGTAGAATGAATGATTTATAAGAGATGTACTCTTAACTATTAGTATATATAGACATAAGCCCGTGTATTGTATTCATATATTTTTGGGAAATATGATCATTTGAGAACTCCCAAATGATCATGCATGATTGTTTCCAATATATGAATTGAACTGGCACGTATGGAACGAAATAAGAAAAAGAAAACCCGGGATGGTATGCATACATGCCATATGCTATCACATTACGAAATAAAGATTCGAGTCATATCTTGGGAAACACATAAGGATTTAGTCATAATGGGTAATTTTCTCTGTATCTTTCTTGTACGGTATCAAGATGCCAAAAATTAGTCCTGTTGTTCTAAGATTATTATCTTCATGAGGCATGCAACATGACATTTTTTTGGGACGAAGGGAGTACATACAAATAACAAATGGATGCTTGTAAACATTGCAGTGTATTATTACTCACCTTCCTTGAATCACATCTGCCTTGTGCAGCCTTGTAAGGGTAGACTTTTTCGGTGGAAAGGCCGCCTTGCTTGTTGATGAAGTCAAATGCTGAATCCATGAGGCCTCCATTGCAGCCTTGGTTTTCCTGTGTGTCACAGTCAATGAGCTCTTGCTCTGACAAAGAGACTAATTTGTTTGTTTTGATTTGGTTTATGCCTTCAACTGCTACAACCGTTGAGAATGCCCAACAACTACCTGCATAATATCGTATGCATATATTAAGGGTACGTCTGGTAAGATTCATTTGATTGAATTGGTTAAACAAAGGCAGATTTTTTAAAAGCCAAAGCATTTGGTAGCATCCATTTACCTAAATAAGTAAAAAAGTAACCTACTTCATTGTTCTACCAATAAGCAAAATAGCAAGCCCAATATGACTAGGAGAGCCTAAACTGTCTTCATTTATTATTACTTCGTACTCCGTATATTTTAGAATCGACCCGGTTCTGTGTCTATTATTATTCATTCTACCCGTAATCGGCACTCGAAAATGGGGTCCGGTCCAGTTCCAAAATGTTCTTTTTTGCCTCTTTTTTTGAAAATAAATTAAAAACTGGAACTGTTCTGAGCCTATTTTGGAGGAAGGGGAACTCAAACCGGTTTGGACCGGTTTTAGATACCGGTCCCAGCCTAAAATCATAATAAAAGGCCACCGGTCCGGTTCTTTACCCACTCGGTCCCGATCCAATTCGAGAACTGGGATCGGGTCCACTCCTACGTGGAGGCTTACCACATTGGCCTTGGTCCTTGACATTGGTGACTGCTCCTTTGGCGCGCCAATCGACGGAGGCCGGGACATCAGTCACGTTGGCGTATTGGAACGACGGTCTTGCACGTGAGGCGCCTTGTAGCAACCGGTGGTGCTTGATCTTAGCATCGGCGTACGTCCTTCGGAACTCGTGGTTCGTCATGTCCGCAAACTTGTTGAGCTTGAGCTTGTAAGGTTTGTCCTTCTTATTGAAGTTGTGGACATAGTCAACGTTAGACTTGAAGACATTGAACCTCTTGTGCTTCTCATCTAGGCTGGTGGAAACAGTGTGGTGGCTCCTCCACCTCTCGTACAACCCCCACAAGCTTTCCTCGCTCTCCAACTCCTCCTCTTGGTATTCAAATCCTTCTCCAATGCTAAGTACCAAAGCTAAGCTTAACACGCCTAAGAAGAAGAGGAAGTAGGACTTGTTCATCTTCATTATATGGTGTATAGGATAGATGATGCAATGAGATAGCTAGGTATATGGAACTATGGGACTGTTTTATTGCCTTTTTATAGATAAATAGTTACCTAAGGATATAACATAAAAATATTATATAATGGGTTATCCAAGATGTTGCTTGCTAAGCTCGGAAATGGTGTGCTTCCAATGAATTATTGGTGCAGAGATTGGGTTTGCTTAAGGGCAACAACAATGTATTAAAAAGTGTTAGATACGGCCGGCCAATTATGCAAGGAATGGGGCATAGCTTCTAGCTTGGTAGAGATTAGAAAAAAGTTTAGGTAAAGTCTAAATTAGTGGAGGAAGCCCAGTATGGCTTGGGGGAGTTGGGGTATGCACTGCACCCTTTTCTAAAAGTGTTTCATACCAAAATGTATAAGTCTCGAATTCGAATCCTGATATTTACGATGAGAGATTACTATGTAAAAATGCATATGGGCTTTGCAACTACTTGAGCCAAAATCTCACTCACTATCTGTCAGTTTGTGATTAAAGTCTAATTTAAATCCTTCAGTTATCCATTATATTCGGTCAGTGCTAGGGGCATTTGAAGATGGAGTGCCATCCTTTTCCCCAAAATTATATGATTTTTGTGCTTTTCAATCCGAGAGATGTATTTTAGGTAAAATATTGAAGTGTATTTTAGATTTTTAGGCAAAATATTGAAGTGTACTTGCCAATCGGGCTTGACTAGTACAAAGATATTTTTACATAATTTTTATATAACTTTTTTAAACTAATGGTGGTTTCATGAAAAATATAAAATTTGAACATTTCTTCATTTGGCACAACTCCCTTGATCGAATACAAAGACTCTTTATTGTCTATTATAATAAAAACGACCATTATGTATCAGACAGATGTCCATTCATAATTTGGTAGTTGTCTAGGACATGGTCATAGACTCATAGTTGCGTAGAGAGGGGGCAATTACCAATCTATTCCAAGTTCAGTAAAGTTTAAATTTTTAGAATCAAAGTTTATCCGAGTAAACCATTTTGTTTTATCATCACAAGTTCAAAACTTTGGATTAATCTAATAATACAGGAAAGTTGCTTGTGGACTACTACAAAGCTGCATGTTAGTAGCTTGAGCCGGCCAGAATAACAGGATCGGAATCTTTGACAATGAACTTTTTTTAGGTGAAAAGCATATATGGGCGAAAGGCAGTTAAGGCACATATGGAAATTCGCAATTTTTGCGTGTACAAACGTATATCAGGCATGAGTGGATGACTCATTTTGTTACATGAGATCTGATCTAGTGTGATCTAGTGGTTTGATTATTTTGATCTATTTAACCCTGACATGATCTAGTTAATGTTTTGTCAATGTGTATTTTATAACCGTCAAAGTCAGATCTAGACTGGGTTGAGCTGGTCTGGGATTGCATACGATTCAAGTAAAAACATCATCATCAATTACTAGATTAAGCATAAATTAAAGTTAATACTTCATTTTAGATTGTTAACACACAAAAAAATATTATTTGTAAATTAAAATTAAAATATTAGAAAATAACACTAAAAGTTTTACTAAATCACAAAATTAAAGCTGATTTTAATTTGAAAAAACATTTGGCACATAAAATTATTTGGCGTAACTTAAAATTACAGAGAATTGGATCTACTTGATCAATTCAGATCGAGTATAGTAAATTAGTATTCAGGACGACTAAATAAGTAGTAGATAAAAAATGATCAGAAAATGATCGTTTTATTATTATGGACATTAATTTGAATTCTATCTAATTTATTCATGTTTAAGTGTTAATGTTTATTCATGGAAAGGTGAATGTATGAGTTGAGAGTATTAAAGAGACATTAATTTGAATTCACTCTAATTTATTCATGTGATTATCATTGCTAGTTCAAATTATTGATATGATTTTTGTCGAAAATAAATTACATATGTTTCTATGATATAAAAATGCCATGGGGGTCTTGAGGGTGTAAGAGGGGTAGAGTTTCTAGGCCCTCAATTTTTTAGACTCATAATTTATATATCTGTTGAGTAGGGAGGTTATCCTAAATAGAAGTAAAAACGTTTTGAAATTTCAAAATAGAATCATTATATTTTTCTTCTCGAAATAGAAGTTATTACTGCCATGATTGAAAAATACTGTCATGTTAATGTTATTATTGCAACTATTTTGGCACTAATGATTCTAAGACTGATCTGACATCAAATATTACTATGTTGCTCTTATTTTAGAAAAAAAACATAATAGTTCTACTCTAGAACTCTCATACACTTTTATTCCCATTTGGGGAATTTTCCTTATTGAGTATTACTACATTAGTAAGTTCACACTTTTATACGGAGTAATTAAAACTATTTTGGGACTGGAGAAAACACATGCGAAGAGGCCTGTACGTAGACATGTGAAGAGTGTTAAATTAAATATAATACGTTTTAATAATACACTATGAGGCCGTTTGGCAGCACTGGTTTTCGGCTTATCAGGCTTATCAACCAATTTTTTCACTAAACACACAACTTTTGCTTTCGCGCGCTGAATTGTGTAATGAGCAGAAAAAGTAAGGTTGAAGTTACTTTTCTGGCTGTATTGGCTGAAGTTACTGTAGATGACCATTTTAGCTATTTTTACATATAATTTTTTTTATTTTATTATTAAAATATATTTTAAAAATAATATTTTCTTAAATCAGTAGAATCAGCCATTGCAGCCACTTTAGCCAGAACTTCATAAATTTCAGCAGAATCAATCATATCAGCCGATTTTGGTGCTACCAAACAGGCTCTATATTTATTACTCCCTCTGGTCCCTATTAAAGTTCTCACTTTCCTTTTCGGGATGTCCCTGATTTAAGTTCACACTTCTATTTTAGGAAACAAAACAGTGCAAAACAGTGCAAAATGTGCCAAACAGTGTCCAAACAGTGCCAAACAGTGCATTCCACAATAAAATCAAATTTATTTTCTTAATCTCTGTGAAGTCAAACTGTGAACTTTAATAGGGACGGGAGAGAGTATTGAAATAAACTCTACAAGATTCCGTCCACAGGCCGCGACGAATACATGATTGGCCTTGAGTTTATGAATTTTGCTATAGGTACCCCAAACCCTACCCCATTTGTACCCCATATAAAAACACACCCCCACTTTTCTTCTTCCCTCTTCCCTCTCTCCTGCACCCCCACCTCTCTTCCTCCCTCCCTCTCCTCTTTTTCACGCACCCCCCCTCCCTTCCCCTTTCTTCTCCATTTCAATATCTTTCTCCTTCTTTAAAACTTCCCATTTTTATCATCACCTCCCCTCCAACCTCCGATCTTCTCCTGCTTATCCCCTCTTCCACCGGTGACCTTGCCGACGGCGGCCCTACGCCGGTTGCCGACGGCGGACCTATGTCGGTTGCCATTTCGGATGCAACCTCAAGGGAAGACAACAACGAAGACATACCAAGAGGCTTTGAATAACTTGAGCAACATATCTTCTTTTCTTGATTTTGTTTTCTTGATTTTTTATGTATTTTGGAAATAAAAGGGGTTGTCTGTCTGCCAGACAACTTGAAAGTGCAGTGTCTGTAAGAGTCGTGAAGTTGTCTGTCCTTTGAAAAATAAATGTCTGTAATTGATATTTAATTGTTTATTAGTTGTCTGTATTTGTTTTGAGTTGTCTGTAATGACTTGTCTGCCATGTTGTTGTGAGGTGTCTGTAAAAGTCGTGAAGTTGTCTGTAACTCATATTTAGTTGTTTGTCATTTCATTGTGAGTTGTAAGTAATTTGTGGTGAAAAATAATGTCTGTCTTGTTATCTTTATTGTCTGTCTAGTTATATGTATTGTCTGTCTTTTTTATGAAACATATGTCAAAATGGTAATTCACAATAAACTAATGTCTGTATGTGTGTACTTATGTCTGTATGTGTATATTTAATGTCTGTCTCGTTATACTAATTACATCTCAAAAAATAAACATCACAAATTACATACAGACAACTCAAAACAAATACAGACAACTCAAATTAAATGAAAAACAATTAACCATCAATTACAGACAGACAGATACTGCACTTACAAGTTGTCTGTCAAACAGACAACCCTTTTAATTTCGAAAAAACACCAAAAAATCAAGAAAGGAAGATCCACTCAAGTCATTCAAAGCTTCTTGGTCTACACCTTCATTGTTGTCTCCCCATGTATCCAACATCACCGGAGCTCTCCCCGTTCATCCGATTACTGTAGCTTGTGCATTTGAAATGAATAAAAAAAGACAGAAGAGGAGAGAAGCATTAGAAGAAGCTTGGAGGGGGGAAAGATGAAAAAAAATGAGAAGTATTAATGAAGGGGGGAGATCTTGAAATGGGGAAGAAAACAAGATTTGGAGAAAAGAAAAAGGAAGGGGAGGGGGTGTGGGGGGTGCGTGAAAAGAAGGAGAGAGGGTAGGAGGAGAGAAGAAAAGTGGGGGTGGGTGGAAGGGGAGAAGAAAGTGGGGGAGGGTTTTTATATGAGGTAAAAATGGGGTAGGTTTGGGGTACCTGTAGCAATTCTGTGAGTTTATAAGATTCCGCCCATAGGCCCCGAACAATACATGATTGGCCTTGACAAAATTACAAAATGGTGTAGCATAATTGCATAAAGTATAAATCATGAGCCAATAATTCACGTGTATAAGAAAGTTTAAAGAAATTATTCCAAACTAGTATAGTATCCGTGCGATGCACGGGAATATATTAAAAAATTAATTCGTATGAGATTTAAAAATATTCCTACGGTTCTCTAATAATTGTTTCGTATACCTTTTAGAATGTTTTTTTAAATATTTTTTCTTATTTTCTTTTTTAGTAATTTTTTTCAATCAAACTTCTACTTTTATTCCATACCGCTTTTTACTTTTTACATACAGTACTATTTACTCTTACCTATTTTATCATTACTTTACTCTTCTTAATATATTATATTTTCTACTTTTTCATTTACACTACACCTTCTATACTACCCCTACTATTTTCTTTTTAAAAATCACAAAAAGCATAGGAGACTATTATTTAAGAATGGAGGGAGCATTAAAGTGAAAATAATAAATAATTAAAACTATCCAGTATAATTAGAAATGCACAACCATTAAGGTTAATATTTGTATATGCTTCATCCGTATTTTGAAGATCACTATAATCGAATTTGCACATTATTTAAAGAAAAAAGTAATAAGGGTAATGAATGTGTAGATAAAGTAATAGAGAAAGTGTAAAAATATGAGTATGGAAGAAGAGATCAAAAGTAGAAAAAGAAATGATATATAACAACAATATATATCCAAACTCAATAACTTTTTATTTGGATATATAGTTTACCACCAGTATTATGCACCTTTTAATGCCAACTTGCTAACGATATAACCAATTTTTAGTTGAAATAAGGGAAAATTAATTTAAATATCTCAAACTTTAAAAAAGTGTGAGATAAGTACCCCAAATTTGCTTTTGTAAGATATGTACTCCGATCTTTATGCAAACAATCATATTAGTCCCATGACCATATTATTTTCACAAATGTATAATTTTAGTATGTAAGCTACTTTAAAACTGTCAAAGGATCAGACACGTAGGCTTTTTTCTTTTGATTAGATAAATGTATGCATATATCTCAATGTTGTCATTTTAATTTTGTCCAAATCTGCAGCTCAATGGAAAACCTCTTAGAGTCTTAGACTACGGACATGTAATAAGGGTTGAAATCAATCTTCGAAATTGCAAAAAGTTATCTTTATTAATTATTAATACTTACAATATACTTATATACGTAGTAATTATTCCAAAAAACAAACGAACAATATGCGTAGTAATTAGTCATTAGTTATCTCACACCCATGATAATGAAGATCAGTACGTCCCAATTAAAAAAGGGTGTAGTCCAATCCAGAACTTATCAGGACGTACACGACACAAAATCGTTTTCCATCCCATGGCCGTAGCAAACCTCTTCGATCTTCCAGATTTGTAGCGGCCGGCCTCCATATATCTCTAATGTCTTTCCTTCCGGTGTTCTATACGAACACAAATCTTCACTCCATTCCTTGCTTAATATCAACACCAACATTTGATTTTGTTCTTGATTGTTAACCAATCGTAATTGTATGTATGTTCTTATGCTAGGAGGGAATAAAATAAAATTCACGGAGTATGAGTGAATGGAATTGGGTATAGAATGATGTCCCAATAAACATTTATATAGACGTTGGAATACAAAAGATCGACGAATAAATGCTAGCATTGAGCCTGCAAAACCAATTATATTCATGATATTATCGAGGAGTACATTTAACTAACTTAATTATGCAGCATTATTCCAGACTGAATTAAAACTTCCTCGAGAAGCCAAGCTTGGGAAGATAGAAAGGCATGCCACCATCATTAATTAATGTATTTATTGAATGAGAATAATCTAGAAGCATGCATGCCTTAGGCACAAAGGATAAACACTCCCGTCCCACACTCACGCCCATTTTTTTCGTACAATCTTTCCCGCCCAAATTGGATTGCCAAGATTTTGTTATTATATATATAAGATTAATTATGCAGCATTATTCCAGACTGAATTAAAACTTCCTCGAGAAGCCAAGCTTGGGAAGATAGAAAGGCATGCCACCATCATTAATTAATGTATTTATTGAATGAGAATAATCCAGAAGCATGCATGCCTTAGGCACAAAGGATAAACACTCCCGTCCCACACTCACGTCCATTTTTTTCGTACAATCTTTCCCGCCCAAATTGGATTGCCAAGATTTTGTTATTACATATATATAAGATAAGAATAAAAGATAAACATATATTACGGAATACAGAGTACATAATTAGAGTAGATATGTTTTAAAAAGGAAACAATGATGATGTGCATTATTACATTAGAGGACAAATCGAATACTTAGAGCATCTCCAATGCTATAATGTGCACGGTGCACACGTCATGTGGCATGAGTGATAGCCACATAAATATTAGCAAATAAATTACCTCTCTCCTTATTTGAATGATTTTATACAATTTTGGTAAATTTTTTCCTGCAATGTCAACAACAATGTTAACATCTAGACGGTCTCCTTGACATTGTAGAGGAAAACTTACCAAAACCTATGAAGCACAGATACTTCCCTAGGTTAGCGTATCGGCGCATCCGATACTCTAGGATACTTGTACCGTACGTTTCCGGGCCGTATCTGCAATTTTTAAAAGTTTCCATTTTTTTGTAATTTTTTGAAAGTTTCTGATACTCGTATCCTGACGGATACCCGTATCAATTTTTTAAAAATAAAAAAAATCCCAAAATTTACCTAATAAAATTCTAAAAAAAAAATGAAAATCTAAAACTACATTTTACTTGGTAATCAAATAATAGGCCTATATGGCTATATCCGAATTAAGTCATTAACTCATACTCCGAATTGGGTACTTGCACTTTTAATTTCAAGATTGTAGTTGTTTGACTTATTTCTCATTTTAAATTAATGACTTATTGACTATATTTATATTTCGAGATACACTAGTGTATATGAAAATATTATGAATTTATTACTAAGTATCTTGAAAAAGGAAAGTGTTACAATGCAATGAATGGGTAGACATCATAGGATATTATATGTATATATATATATTTTTTCAAAAAAAATCTATTTTTAATATTTATAAATAGACCCCTATAACTTTTAATATTTATAATACACCCCATAACTTTTAAATTTCTAAATATGGCCCTGTATCCGTATCCTACTTTTTTTGGTTTTGACGTATCCCCGTACCCGTTTCCGCTTTTCCGCGTACCGGTATCGGTGCTACATAGACCAAAAATGTATAAAACCATTCAAATAAGGAGAGAAAGAAATTATTTACTAAAATTTATGTGGTTATCTCTTATGCCACGTGTGCACCGTCCACATTGTACCATTGGAGTTGCTCTTAGCACTCCCTCAGTCCCATTTTGTAGGATATCTTTCCTATTCACTTAGTCAACACAAAACACTCTTAATCTCTTACTTTATATATCATTTTTTTTCAAATTTGATTCTGATTTTTAAAACTTTATAAATATTTTAATGTAGTTTCTGAATTTGGGATGTAGTTCTTTTTTTCTAAAAATAATTTGAGTTCTAACAGGGATTCATTTGCTTTATTGTCGGTCAAATATTGTAAAGACATAAACCGTAAAATGTCTTACCATTCGGGAGAGAGGGATGAAGTACTACGTATAACGGTACGTAAGGAGGAGTATTATCTTGAGATATTACCCAAAATGGGACTAAAAAAGTTTGGAAATTCCAAAATAGGACTTCCATGTTTTTATTCCCAAAATAGGACTAATTACTGTCATGTTTTGGCAGTATCAGACTTCAAACATGGTCGTATTTTTCAAATGTTGCAATAATTAGTCCTATTTTGGGAATAAAAACATGACAGTCCTATTTTGGAATTTTCAAACTTTTTTAGTCCCATTTCAGAAAGTTTCCCTATTATCTTTTAGTTGGATCCGTATTAATTAGGCGTAGGCGTGCATGGCATTCATGACGTTCAAGACACGGGATTGGGAAGACGACGAGTAGTCAGTTTTTATCGTTGTGATGAGGCCGGCCTGGCCTTCGGCTTTAAGCCAAGATCACAAACAAGTGGTCGGATCGAGAATAAAGTTGGTGTGCGTGGCCATATATATTCATCATTTATATTGACTTCACTTAATTAATTAATTAATTAATTAATTATGGAATAAGCTAAGCCCCAAAGAATAGTAGTAGGTCATGATATGTTCAGTTTATCTAACCTACGTGGTACGGATAACGAGAATATGAACTTAATTATGAAGCTAGGCATGCGCAGCCGCACAACTCCAAATGACATGCTCTAAATTTTTAGGCCAAAGTGGTATATTTATAAAAATATAGACTTGGATATAGAGAGAGAGAGAAATTTTGGATTAGAATAAGAAGAGTCATCATTCTCATTAAAATTGAGTAAGAATAAACATGAGGCATCAAATGTATATGCTCTAATAAGATGGCTTTAAGTATGTTTAAAATGCATTACAAATTTACAATGGATGAAAAATGCGGTAACGTTTCAGTAAATAAATCAAAGTTTATCCTCATTGCAAAAAGTACATTTCCGGTATGTAAATAGTGTACCATATACGATCAAAGGTGGATAGAAAAAATCATTTGAATACAATAGTGCAACGCAAATGCTTAAAAATGAAGATATTCGCACTTTACATGGGAGGACATTTTTTTAAGCAATAAAATGTAAGAGCACAAGAGGACCACTTTTATTGAAACCATATACGTGCCCTATTTTTGTCCCAGAAGGCAAACCACAAATTGTGGGATAAATGCTGGGTTTCATTTACCAAACATTATTGTTAAAAAAGAGAAAACAGAAAAGAAATAGGTACGTTGGTACAATATAAAGGACAAGCAATAAAGATGGGAAAATTAAAGAGATGCATCATAAGTAGTTATCAACAATCAACATAGTTATCTATTACGGCAGTTTGAGAGGTAATACAAAAATCGCCGGCCTTTGCAGTTATTTTTAAATTGAGAAGTGCAGAGAAGAGTATATGGCGGTATTATTATGGCCTCATAATATGCATGGTTAAGTACAACAGCAGAGTCAAAGATTATAATTGCTCAAAAGAGAGGGAAATGTTCCTTGTACGACTACCGTTGCGTAACAAAAAATCTCACGGATGGGATATTAATTAATTAGTTAATTACTACTACTCCGCTAATACTTAAAATGATAGGGAAAGTTCCCCAACCAAAATAGTTTGAAAATTCCAAAATAGGAATGTTATGTTTTTTTTTCAAAATATGAGTAATTACTGTCAAGTTTGGAAAACACTGCCATGTTTGAAGTCTGGTACTGCCAAAACATGGCAATAATTAGTCATATTTTGAGAGTAAAAATATGTCAGTCCTATTTTGGAATTTTCAAACCATTTTGATCCTATTTTAGGTTATATTCTCTATAATTTAGTTTAGTGGTGTTTAATTATTTGCTGTATTTGTCTAAAAAAATAAAATTATTTGCTGTATATTATGGTCATTCCCGTGCCTGTGTTATTGAAGCTTACTCACACCATGTACTAGGTGCAAATAGGCCCATGTACTAACCAAAAAAGGTCAAATAAGCCCTTATTTAGGAGGCTCTGTCCGGCCGTCGCCATTTGGGGTGGTTCCCGGTGGAATTTTTTGATTAAATTTTTTGAGCATCTTATTCATCAAGTCTAGTTTACTCATACCAAATTTCAGCTAAAACTTCAATCGGGAAGGCATTCAAATAAATTCTTGAAGATAACTTCGCTTCTAACTGTGCAGTTATTTTCAAGAATTCATTTGAGTGTCTTCCCGATTGAAGTTGTAGCTGAAATTTGATATGAGTAAACTAGATTTGATGAATAAGATGCTCAAAAAAGTTCATCAAAAAATTCCACCGGGAACCACCCCAAATGGCGATGACCGGACAGAACCTCCTAAATAAAGACTTATTTGACCTTTTTTGGTTAGTACATGGGCCTATTTGCACCTTTTCCCCACCGTAGACTGCACATAGTATAATAATCACCTAAATATCAATCGTACTCACCTTATATACCCATCATGCCCGTGAATATTTTTATGTCTGTGCATCCCTTTCACATACAAAAATGTGCCTTCACAGACATGTGGTGGAGAAAAGGTTGATATAAAGGTGAGTACAATCAAATATTTTTTTTTTTGCTTAAATATACTAGGATATATTTGATACAAGTGGCGTAAAGATATGCTTGTGAGTCTTTTTGGTAACTTCTAATTTTAATGACTAAAAAGATATTAAAAGAAAAAAATTGTAACTATTTGATAAAATATCGATTCTTACATTTAATTGTGTTTGATATAATAAAATATTGTGATTACTTAAGGAAAAAAATAACTTTAAATAATACCAACTATTTGAATGTGGAAAAAATATGGAGTCACATTTTGACAACAAATCCAGTCATTTAAGACATCAAAAACTAATGCTTACCCATCAAATAAATGATATTTGAAAATATATTCACTTATTAGATATTTTGTTATACGTTTTTGATGAGTTAAATGATTGAATGTTTCTCCTATAAGCTAGTTTGTGCAACTTCTAAAAAATCTTTTATTCTTA